ATTGAATTCGAGACCACTTCTTTCTCTCCTCATTTCTCTTCATCTCTCGATTTTATTTTGACTTTTGGTGATCGATGAAGTCTTGTGTCCGCAAGACAAGATCTCACTATTTTTGGTCCGTGCGACACGATTCAATTGGAGAACGATCCTCAATATCGTTTCTCTATCTTGTCCATAGCACGGAAATCAATACGCGACCTCTTAAAGTTTGACTTCCCTTATAAGTAGAGCTATGACGGTTTAGCATCACATTGGTCCCGATTCAAAGCATCCTCAAGGATCAAAGAAGAGAAGATTGGAATGGAGCTTGCACACAATGTCAAGGGTCAACGGAACCACTCAGTTTGGTAACATCTTTCTAATTCAAGTCTTTTAATCAATTGTCAAGCGTTGTGAGTTCTGAGCAATAGATGCGTGGGAAATGATGAGTGGGGGGCCTCCTCTCATTCGTCTAGAGTGTTTGGTGTATACCCTTTGGGCAATATGCGACGCATTCGCTCATACGCCTTAGGTTCTAGCGTGTGTGTCCCGAGTTCCGTCCCGTTTAGGCGTGTCTTAGCCTAGTTCCTCTTTTCTCTTGCCCCAGTGCGATCGAAACTCTTTCTCTCGCGTCCTGGCGATTGAGATCCCCTCTCTTGACCTTGTGCAATCGAGACTCCCTTTTCTCTCGCCTCCGTGCGATCGAGACCATTTTCCGTAGTTGGCCAAATTACGGCTGCTCTGATCTCTCATATCTGTTGAGAGTACGTAGGCATAGGATTGCGATAATCCTAGCGAGTACTTTTCCCTCTTCCCTTTAGGTAACCCGTACCTTTAAACTAATGACATACTACGTCTGTTCTACCGCAAACAGGTAGCGCCTAAGACTCCAATGGTCGAGCACCAATACACCTAACTGCTAGAATGCGTGCGCTAGTATTGTCTACCTTTTCTCTCACCCTCGTGTGGTCGAGAACACCCCGTTTACCCGTAGTTAGCCTGAACTACGTTTTGCTCTGATTTCTCGTACTAGACGAGAATACGTAGGCACAAAACGCGATGTCTTGGCGAGCAATCCCCCCCCCCCCCCCCCCCGTAGTTTCCCGAACTACGTTGACACTGACTTTCCCATTGCACAAGGGAATACGTATGCATAGGGCGACGATGTCCTAACGAGTCAGTTCTTTCCGTTCTTTTCAGATCCTTCTGTTTAGCATTAGCAGCCGTAGATAGTTTGTTTTTCATCCATAGACTAGACAACAAGCGTGGATCCCATCGAGTACGACGGACGTGAGGGGTGCTCATACCTTCCCCTTGCGTAATCGACTCCTGAACCCGAGACATGGTTGCGATGACCTGTCTTTTCCCTTTTTCGTTAGGTTTTCTCTGATCGTTTCCTTTCCCTTTTTTGGGATAAATAATGAACGGTGGCGACTCTTCTGTCATTGTCGGCCTCTCTTCGTAGTGATGCGACAGCTTCCTTGTCAAAATTCTTGTAAATCTTAATCCTTAAACCCTTTTTTAATAAATAAGCTTATACTCTAATCTTTAAGCATTTTAGGAACACGATATCAGATATGATTTGATGGACAGAAAGATGAAGGTCAATATCAAACACATAAAGATTAGGTGAATAACCAAACACTTAAAAATAGTTTAGCATTATACAAAAAAATATTTTTATAAATAGCGCCTCTTAATGGGTTTTGCCACTGAATCAACCATGAAAATAGATGATTAAGTGATTTAAGATATAATTATATTGTTCGAAAGAGAATATAATATATATTATCAATTAGTTTTATCAAAGCTGAATTTTTATAAGTAGAGTAGGGAAAAAGGTTTTACAAGGTTTGTCTTAAATAAGGAATCACAATCCTAAAACGCAATTTTATTAAATTTTCAAATCTCTAAAAATAACAAAACCAATCAATATCACCTATTTTTATCTAATTATAGAATATAGAGAATTAGTAACAATCATAGTCCTAGTGGAACAATCAATTTTATTATGCGATATATATCATACACTTGCGGCCAACACTCATAAATCAGATTTATCAAGCCCTAGCAAAGACCAAATCGGCCAGCACTACTAAATCCTTCTATAGGAGTGTTCTAGCAAGGAATGATATTCCCAAATCTTTTATAAACGATAATGGGATCTAATTCATGGATAAGAATTTTATGTAGCTCTTCGAGGACCTTTGAGTCAAACACCATTTTACATATGTAGAACACTCCCTAACCAGCACACAAGATGAATCTTCCAACAAGGTATCATTGAAAGCGCTTAAGAATGACTCAATGGATATAAAGGAAATAAGATTAAGGATCACTCACACGTTCTTTGGGCGTACCGAACTAGCCTTATGCAAAAAAAATGTTTTGCTGCCCTCACACGCGTCACCGTGAAACAAGCCACCACTACCAAGTAAAACAAAAAGTTCAAACCCAGAAGCTTCCAACTCGGCGATCATGTGCTAGAGATCTAACATTTAAGGAGGAAACACTGAATAAATGAGGCTTGTTCTCAACTGAGAGAGGTCGTAACAGGTTTAAAATATCACGAGCAACAAAGAATGCACCATCAAGACTCTCCATGGGAAACTTATCCAAAAGACCTAGATTCCACTAAGTTTAAACAATATTATAGCTAAGTTATTCCTTTTTTTTAAAAGAAATTTAGAATGCTCATGAAAAATATAAGAATGTAACACTTTGCTAACTAATTTAATAAACTAGATATTGGCATTATCACTTTTGTAGATAGCAAGGAAAATTTAATACCATCAATCTTTTTTGATAGCGTAAATATTTGAAAACTAAAGAATAAGAGTCACGTACCTTATGCAAAATGGTGCCAAATGTCTAAAGAAATTGCTAGAAGCGAATGCATAACGATGTATTAGGCACACCCTTTTTTGGTAGCTACCCACCCTAAAGTGCAAGCGGTGGAGCCCTTCTCACCGAACCTTTAAATGGGTCTTCACCCAAAAGCACAAAATGAGAAGATACCCTTGGTCCAACACTATCACTAGAGACGTCAAATAGTTCAATGACCGACCTTTCTAAGCGGCCACAAAGAATGACAGTGATAACCATCCCGAAAAAAGTGGTTGATGCAAATAATGGATGCATAATAATACATGGAAAAGGATGAAACACAATTATTCATAAAAGGAAATGATGAAACAAAACCATTCCTAAAATTGTTTATAAAACAGAGCCATAGGACAATACAACACAAGTCGACAACAAACCAAACAAATAAGATCAACATGGTTGCAGTAACGCCTAGGAAGCCGAAGTGTCACCGAGAGTGACTAGCTTCCCATCCAAAACCTCATGCTCAACATTGAGTTTTTCTCTAGGGATCTTCACTCTAGGGCAAATCAGTTTCACCTAGTTCAAAGCGTTATCAAAAGAGGCTTCCATGACACGACTCCCAACATGGAAAACTCTGCTAAACTCGTTTTGAAATGAATCAACATGACATCAGAAGATGCGATCAACGGTCCAAGATCAACATCGGTTCTTTAACAACACTCGAGTGCATACAAGTTTTATAGTGACGTCGCTCTCCTCATACCTTAGAAACTTAGGCCACATGGAGGATTTTCTATACGAAACATTTTAGTGACACGACAATAATTTAATGTGTGTATTCTTAAGGACACACACTCTCACTCGACATGCCACCAATCTCTTCCCCCATAGTTACGTTTTGATGTCCTTTTAAATATATATTTTGGGTCAACCAACTAATAAGATCAAAGCAATTTGAAGAATCCACTCTAAAATTCCTTCGTCTAAGACTGACGAACAAGTAGAGCCAATCTGATGTTCACCTTCACCCCCTCGGTTAACAGGAGCGGTTTTAGCTGTAGTTTATTTATAAGTGTGATGACGCATCACACCAAAGTATGATTCATTCAATTTTATAAGTTACACATTTTTAATCTCATTGACTTAAACGTTAGAGGATTAACCTTACATTTACACCACTTCTTCACCTACCAAAGACTCATATCGGCATATCAGAGAGTTTCTACGACAACCTTCATCATCATATCCCTTATCTCCCGTTCCACATTACTAATATATATATATATATATATATATATATATATATATATATATATATATATATATATATATATATATATATATATATATATATATATATATATATATATATATATATATATATATATATATATATATATATATATATATATATATATATATATATATATATATATATATATATATATATATATATATATATATATATATATATATATATATATATATATATATATATATATATATATATATATATATATATATATATATATATATATATATATATATATATAATCCCTTAAAAAAAAATAAAAACTTAGTTTAACAATAGTATTAAAGAGCTGTTTTCGTCTTGTCCTATAGAACTTCGTGCTGGTTTGCTTGTTCTCCCATTAGTTTATTTTCTGCTCCTTCTTCAGCGTTGAAATTTTTTTATTTAAAACTAACAGCACTAGAATATCAATTTTCCATTCTAAAGAAAACTCAAATCTACCCACTTTTTCAAACTCCATTAATTACATATCATATCTATTAATGGTACACCTAATACGCCGGCCACAGACACATGTATAAAATAAATTCCTATTGCAGTAAGCTGAATGAAAACCCTTTAAAAAAGTTCCAGCACCTTTTAATTGTCAAGGTTTGCCAGATGTGATTCTCATCATACAAATGATTAAAAATTTGAATTGAATATACAAATTTCCAATGTTTCAACTAACAAATTTAATGCAATACTGCAAATGGACAGTACATGACAAATGAATAATCATGTCAACGGTGGAGCTTATAAACAATTTGAAGACCAAAAATAAATCCAATTAAATTATTTCCAAAATCCAGCTAGCAAGAAAATAACTCAACCTGTGCCCTATCTGTAAATCTTTGTATATGAAATGGAAATTGAACTAGAAATAAATGGTAAGCATTTATTAGTCTAAGAAATAGTTAAATAAATCAATAGAAGGAGTTTGAGGTGAAACAAAATTAGAAGGACTAGGTAAAAAGAAATTAGCACCAGGCTCCATAAAATTTCTACTACTAAGTAGTGCAGGACTGAAATCTTGAAGTAAGTTGCTGAACATGTTTGGATCCGAAGACGGCGGCGAGAAAAAGTTAGCAGGAATCGGAGATAGCGAAGCCGGTCCCGGAGACAAAATCCCTTGAAACATCATGTTTCCTCTCTCAACTCCATGATTCATCAACTGTACTTGCTCTATCCCTTCCATGTCGCTTATTACATCACTAGTAGTAGTATTAATAGTAGTAGCACTTGTTGTTATTGGTAGTACTATTTGATGCTGTTGTTGTAGTTGGTGTTGTAGCTGTTGCTGTTGTCTTCTTCCTAAAGGAGACATAGCTTTCTCTACCGTGGCATAACGTGCCGCGGGTGATATTGTTCCGTCTCCGTGAAAAGGATTGAAAGGATCTATGTTTGACGATGATAAAGAGGAGGAAGATACCGAGGAGGAGGAGGAGGAGCCGGTGAGACGTTGAACGAGGTTCATGAAGTCGCCGGGTGTGGTGTGGATTACCTTAGGGGAGACGGTGTATATTATAATTGGCTGGCGCGGCGGTTGCTGATGCTGTTGCTGTTGTTGTAACTGCGGCGGCGCCAACGGTGGTTTCTTGATCTTGTGAGAGTCCTTGTGTATTCGAAGAGGTGTAGGACGAGGACCTTGAAGTTCTCGTTTTGGTGATCTTCCAGTAGGAATGTATGGGAATTGATCCATGTTATGTTATGTGTAGTAAAATGGGGGTGTGATGAATGAAATTGGGACTAGATAAGTATAATTGTTGTGAACTTTATAAACATGAGAAATAATATATAAGAGCTGACATGAATAAACAAAAAAGGGATCTGGTCAATGACGAAGGGAGAAAAAAAAAAGTATTTGTTGAGAAAACTTTGGCTTATTCAAAAAAAGTGAAATATAATTTTATAGAGAATTTGATACCTACGGCCGGTTTCGTGATGTTATGGTTGTCTGAATATGAACGCGTTTGAATAGAGAAATAGAGTTGGAAAAGGTCATGCTAATGTCATTGTAATGTAAGGACTAAGGCGATAGGAGCAAGTAAGTGATGTTGAGTACAAATGTGTGTGCAAGTGGATATAGGTCCTAAGTTGACAAGTTTGACAATAGTTATGTGGAGTATTAATTATCTATGTGTCACTAAATTAGAATTTGAATATTTATAAATAATAAGTAGAATTGTATATGTATAAGTGTTTGTATTTCTGAACTTTGTTATTGTTTTTGTTTTTTGATAAGTGGAGTAACCGTCGTTGATGCGTATTGAAAATGCTACGGCTATATCGACATGAAATATTTCATTTTTGAATATTTGTATGATTTTGGAAAAGTATATAAGGGTGTATTAGGCAACACCCTTAAAACCCAAAAACAAAAAAATGTTTCTTTTCTACTTATAAACCAAGACGAAAGTTGGTCACATTTCTATTTAACATAATGACATTTTTATAATATCATATAAAATGGAAACATTAAAATATTAAAATAAGTTACTTTCTTTCCCAATCATTTCTTATCAAATAAAATGATGATTAGATAAGGTTTGAGTGATAAAATATTAAAATAAAAAAATATTGGATACTAAGATTTAAATAAAAAAAATGTTTTCCTTTTTAAAGAAATTTCTTGCAAAATTATCTCCCATCCTTCCTTATCGGGAGTTGGATATATATATGCCATATCTTATGAATCCCACACATCAGGAGCGCTTTTAGTGGAAGAAGATTGTTGATTGCTATTGCAATGTAGTTAATCATTTTTCTCTTAATAAAAGACGTGCAACTTAATGTCATTTCTTGCGTGTTTTTAAACAACTCAAATCATATAGAGTAATTTGTTGTAATAAATAATATCAATTAATAAATTCTTAATTGAGAAAATGAGATTTTTTGGATGAACAATTAAACGATTAGAATAAAGACAGAGAGAGAAACAAAAAAGAAGAATAGGATTTGAGCAACTGTTTTACTATTCACTTTTGCAAATGATTACAAGTGAATAACAACAATTGGACTCTCTCAACAACCTGAAAGATTTAGTCTATTTATAGGATACTAAGTTAACTTAAATAACAAGTTAAGCTAAACAGTTGAATTTATAACACAAGACCTAATTCGACATTACATACTAGAACTAACTTCGAATTTAACAGGTAAAACTTTGACATCAGCATGTGAACCAGCTTCGACTTCATGCTTGTCTCTTGTCGAAACATGAAAGCTTTTCCTGCTAACAACATCCCAGTCGACAACATTAAAGTTCGATCCAATATCTCAAAAATCTCCACCTTGAAACAAAATCTACAATAACAGGCAATAATCTAGCTTTCATCATGCAACTTTAACAATTGCATAAAGTGGAAAAACTTGCAGCTCGACAATGTCTTGGTGATCATATCAGCAACATTGTCATCAGTCTAAACCTTCAGCACTTGGACTTCTTCATGCTCAGTTATCCCTTTGACAAAATGCAGCCTCACATCGATGTGTTTGGTTCGCTCATGATAAGCTGAATTCTTCGACAGGTGTATTGCACTTTGACTATCACATTTAACATTGATAACTCGACCTTGAAGTTTCATTTCCTTTGCAAAACCTTCAAGCCACAATGCTTCTTTCACAGCTTTAGTGAGGGTAATATATTCAGCTTCAGTGGTTGATAAGGAAACAACCTTCTGAAGTGTCGCTTTCCAACTAATTGATGTGTCAAACACAGTGAACACATATCCAGAAATCGATTTTCTAGAATCCATACAACTTACATAATCAGAGTCGACATATCCTTCAATTTCGACTTTGCTATCATCACCACCGGCTCCACCATATATCAAGACTCTATTTAGAGACCCATTTATGTACCTAAGAGTCCACTTCAAAGCTTTCCAGTGCACCTTTTCCAGAATTGACCATATACCTACTTACATGGCTCACTCCATACACAATGTCTGGCCTCGTACAGACCATATCATACATTAAAGAACCTACTATACTAGAATATAGAATGCTACTCATATAGATTCTTTCAGCTTTAGTACTCGGACTTTGAGTAGTACTAAGCTTAAACTGAGGATTTGTCAGAGTCACAACAGGCTTTGAATTTGACATACCAAACTTGTTGAGAACCTTCTGTAGGTATGTCTCTTGAGATAAGCATAACTTTGATTGTTTTCTATCTCTTCAGATATCAATCCTAAGAATCCCGGTGGCAGCTCTCAAATCCTTCATTTCGAACTCCTTACTGAGTTCAACCTTCACCTCCATTACATCTTCGACATTATTGCTAGATATAAGGATATCATCCACATAAAGCAACAAAATAACAAGTGACTTTCCCGGTCGAAATCTGAAGTAAACATATTGATCGAACTGACTCCTATTGAAACCAATGTGTGCAATGAACTTGTCGAATCTCCTGTTCCACTGTCAAGGAGATTGTTTTAGGCCATACAAAGACCTATTCAACTTGCAAACATAATCTTCCTTATCCTTTTCTATATATCCTTTAGGTTGTCGCATCAGGATCGTTTCATCTAGATCACCATACAGGAAGGCTGTCTTCACATCCATTTTTTCAAGTTCCCAGTCGAACTTCGCCACCATGGCTAACAACAGTCTAATGGATCTATGCTTTATAACAGGTGAGAACACATCATTGAAGTCGACACATTCTTTCTGATTGAACCCCCTAGCAACCAACCTTACCTAAAAATGCTTCATCATCATTCCTTCGATTCCTTCATTGACCTTGAAAATCCATCTACAACTGACTAACTTGGCTCCTGCAGGTTTCTCAATCATCTCTCAAGTGTTATTATCATGAAGAGATTTCATCTCGTCATCTATGGCTTTTTGCCATTCAGTCTTATTTCGACTCCTCATAACTTCCTTGTAGTCTCTAGGTTATTCCTCAAGTACCTCACTTGCAGAGATTAAGGCAAAAGCTATAAGATCTACATAACCAAGTCTTTGAGGTGGCTTAATGAATCTTCTTGATCTATCCCTTGCTGGTAGGTAATCATCGACAACTTCCTTAGTCTCTTCAGCATCTTGCTCTTCTTCTTTTACTTCATCTGGGTTATGCACTTTAGCATCACTATGCTCCACCTCAACAGGAATCTATACATGTTCCAGCTCCTCTTCAGATATTTTTGCACTTCAACCAGCATCACCAGTTTTCTTGAACGCCATCTCGACTTCATTGAAAACTGCATCACGACTTGTGATACATCTTCTATGACCTAGTTCTAGGCACCACATCCTATAGCCTTTGACTCCCTCGGGATATCTAAAGAACATGCATCCCAGAGCTCTAGGTTCGACCTTGTCTTGCCTAATGTGAGCATAGGCTAAACAACCAAATACTATCAGTTTGTCGAGATCTGGTGGTTGACCCGACCAAACTTCTTTAGGTGTCTTCATTCCCAAGGCAGTCGAGAGACATCTATTTATCAGATAAGCTGTTGCGGAAACAGCCTCCACCCAAAATACCTTCTTCAATACAACACCAACCAACATGCATCTAACTCTTTTAAGGATTGTTCGATTGAATCTCTCAGCTAAGCCATTTTCTTGAGGATTTTCCAAATACACAAGGTTGACAAAACTCCAACTTCTCGACTTTGTCACCACCTAGCATGTTATGTTTCCCCAGTTCGACCAGGCCTCTTTCGTTGACATAGCCCAATCTCATGTGCCATAATTCTCTCTTCGACACTGGTTTTATGGATGCAAAATCTTCTGACCCACATACAACCTCAGCCTCAAGGGTATACAAGTCTTGTTTCTTCACGCCTCTCAAGACTACCTTCGACCCCTTCATGAATTTCAGGATACCTTCCTCTCCTTTGAAGGCATATCCTTTCTTGTCGAATTCACCAAGAGAAATCAAATTCCTCTTAAGATTAGATACATACCTAACACCAGTCAATAGCCTTATTGACTCATCATGGAGCTTGAATCTCACAAATCCAATACCTGCAATCTTGCAAGCTTTATTATTTCCCAACAACACTGATCCACCATCTTGATCACATAATTCTTCAAACACATTCTTGTTTGGAGTCATATGTCATGTACATCCTGAATCCACAATCTAGTCTTTGCAAGAGGTGCTGCTCGATACCGCAAGGACATCAAATGATTCATAATCATCTTGCATAATAGCTGCATTTCCATTGTCCTTACCTCCATGATTATCAAGACGCTCAGGACACGTATTTCTTGTGTGACCCTCCTTCTTACTGTAATAACACCTAATACCAGAAATATCACCACCATAATACTTTTGCTGAGTTTTACCTTTCTTCTTCTTGAACCTACCATCCTTTTTCGAGAATTTTCCTTTAACAGACAGCCCTTCGCCAACTGATGATGGTTTATGCTCCTTTCTTTTGTTCAAATCCTTAGAATACAAGGCTGCTTGAAATTCTTCAAAGGTCAGAGACTCTCTTCCATCCAAGAGAGTTTCTTTTAAGTGAGCATGCGACTTAGGTAAAGAGCACAATAATAACAATGTTTGATCTTCGTCACTAATGGTAACCTCAATATTTTCAAGATCAAGAATCAGCTTGCTGAACGTATCCAGTTGCTCCGTTAATGCTTTATCTTTATTCATCTTGAATGAATACAAAGCCTGATTCAAGTACAAACGATTTACCAAGGGCTTTTTCATATACAATCCTTCGAGTTTCAGCCAAA